TATAATTTGTAAACACGATACAGGCCACATTTATGGACCAATCTTCACCCCTACAATGAATATATATTGTTTTTGGTACAGATCGATTCATATTTAGGGGATAAAATGGACCAAAAACTTTATTTTTGTCTGATTTTCTGGTCGCTCCAGAGAAATTATAGTCCAAACATCGCGAATTTTTACATGTTTTGATAAAGATCGGTAAATATTTAACGGTTCAAATGGACCCGGACTTTTGTGTGAAAAATGACAAAATTTGTATTCTATGGCGTATATATTTACCCCTGAATGACATAGTCCGAGAAGTTGATAGTATATCCAAGAGGACTGGTTGACCTTTAAATTAATACCAATTATATTGTCTATGTACTCGGATGTGGGAGTTACACTTAAATATTTAAAGGTGCTTACGTATTCATATATTATTAAGTATCCCATTAGTAAACTAGAGGGCGGATATATAGCGCTGATAGCTTTGAAATTTTCCATGAGGATCCAGGTATGGCCAAGGACAACGTGTATTATTTTCGGTGATGATCATATGATAATATTGGGATGAATTCGACCGGAAACATTTTTGTGTTTTTCGAGTCGATCTATAGGCCACAATTGAAAACCGAACATCACAACACAACCCACGGTGAAGGGAATCTGTACTGTATATTAGTAAACTCAAAATATAGAACCACAGAAAGTTAGATTTCCATGGAAGTTGTGTAGGGTATCATATGATCGGCCCGTCCGACTATACTGATCCGCTCACTGGTTTAAACAAATTTTTCATGGACCCATACTAGGCGTATAGTACATTCAATAGCCGTGGATTTTTAAAAAATATTTTTCAAGTACCTAGGCGTGCATTTTTTAAAAATATTTTTTCACATACCTTTCAAGGACCCGCAATAGACCAAGATCCAGATTTTTTAATATTTTTCAAGAACCTGCAATGGTCCTAGATTTGTTTAATATTTTTCAATTTTTTTTTAATATAGGAATATTCTCAAGCCTGAAGTGCACTACCCATTAAAACATGTCCTGAATAAAATATGATTATATTTCATCCTTATCCCCACTTCTCTTCTTTGCCATTTTTGCTGTAAAATGAAATGAAGCAAATACTTTTTGTTATTTAAAATACTTTACATCTTCTTCATTGAGTTCAGTTATCTTAAAAATTCCGACCAAACCGACTACTTAACACTAATGCAAGTTAGAATTTGCTTTCAAAACTGTAGAGGGTTTTTTTGCTCTCGTTCGCCATTTAGCCATGTCAATTATTTTAAAAGACTGTGAGAGAACAGAAGAAGTTCTATAGACCCACCCACACACACACCCCCCTTTTGCCACAATGTCGGTTGCGGGTTGCAAATTGCAACCAAAATCATGGAAAATACGAAGCCAAAAACCGCATTCACATATTCCCATAGAAAGCGCATCAGATGAAAGATAAATGTACTTATGGATTATAATGAGTATCTATGTCTGTGAGGGTGTGTGTGCATGTGTGTTTTATGTACTTAAGTAATTATGCGAAGGTATGTGTGATATATGTGCATCATCAAAAAGGGAATAAAATACGTTGAAGAGTTAAAGAAATTCTTTAAAATGCATAAAGACCCAAAATAGTTTTTGGGTCCATTCGACGCAAGCATTTTTATAAAATATTTTTTCAAGGACCCATACTAGTTTTGAAATATTATTTCAAATACCTTTTAATACGCGTGAATTAAAAAAACAGTAAGGAAAATAGTAAAGTCGGACTGGGCCGACTATATGATGCCTTTCACCACTTTGGGTATATTCTACATATGGATCCTAACAGACGCCGCCTTTTCGAAGGAATATTGACATGAAATTGAACGAACTTAAATCTAAATCTAACCCATACAGAACAACAACATAAAATCGGAGAAAATATGCATTGGAACTAAATCTAAATGTGAATCGATTTTCACGAAACTTAGAACACATCATTCTGGACCTAATTAAGTACCCTATGCCAAATTTCGTGCAAATCGAAAGATATATGGGGACTATATAAAAATCTGGCCCGATTTTTTTCGAAATTTGGCACACGTAATTCTAGACTCAATTGACTACACCGTGCAAAATTTCGCGCATATCGAAAGGTTTATAGGGAATTTCGTACACCATTTGCATAAAATCGGACAAAACTATATATGGGAGCAATATCTAAATCTGAACCGATTTTCTCGAAACTTAGCACATATCATTCTGGACCTAATTTAGGACCCTGTGCCAAATTTCGTGCAAATCGAAAAGAAATGTATGTACTTTGGTACACCATTTACCTTAAATCGGACGAAAATATATATGTGAGCTATATCTAAATCTGGACCGAATTTCACGAAACTTGGCAGGCATCATTCTAGGCTCAATTCTGTACGTTATGCCAAATCTCGTGCAAACCGAAAGATATATAGGGACTTTGGTGCACCATTTACATTAAATCGGACGAAACTATATATGGGAGCTATATCTAAACCAGGACCGATTTTCACGAAACTTGGCAGGCATCATTCTAGGCTCAATTCTGTACGTTATGCCAAATTTCGTGCAAATCGAAAGAGATATAGGGACTTTGGTGCACCATTTACATTAAATCGGACGAAACTATATATGGGAGCTATATCTAAATCTTAACCAATTTTCACGAAACTTAGCACACGTCATTCTAGACTTAATTCAGTACGCTGTGCCAAAAATCGTGCAAATCGAAAGATATATTGGAACTTTGGTGCACCATTTACCTTAAATCGGACGAAAATATATATGGGAGCTATATCTAAACCAGGACCGATTTTCACGAAACTTGGCAGGCATCATTCTAGGCTCAATTCTGTACATTATGCCAAATTTCGTGCAAATCGAAAGAGATATAGGGACTTTGGTGCACCATGTACATTAAATCGGACGAAACTATATATGGGAGCTATATCTAAATCTGAACCGATTTTTCCCAATTTCAATAGGGTTCGTCCTTGGGCCAAACAATGAGCTGTGCCAAATTCCATCCAAATCGGATTATAAATACGACCTGTACTATGTTTACAATTTAACAGACGGACGGACAGACGAACATGCATAAATCGACTCAGAAAGTGATTCTATGCATATTCTCAAAAGGAACTATGGGTCTATGTCGTTTCCTTTTGCCTGTTACAGACATATGCACAAAGACATAATTCCCTGTACCACAGTGTGGTGAAGGGTATAAAAATGTCTAAATTAATCCGAAAAAATCCATACTGCGTGGATTTTTTTAAAATATTTGTTTAAGGGAACCCCCCCATTCTCGATTTTAATTTTTCAGGATTTTCAATGGGCTGGTAAATGAATACAAAGCTTGTTAAGGTTTGTAACTTTGAACATATATAATTGAAGATTTAAAAGAGAAGAAAAATAATTTACAAAAAAATTTTGTTATTGTTTTGTTGTTGTTTTTTGTAAAGAAAAGTACTTATTTTTGATGGCGGGCATGATAACTCCTCACTGGAACATCGAAAAAATTCCAACGGTGTTAGAAAGAGTACATGTCTGGCTCTCGTATGAACTAGGATTATTGACTTCGCTCTAAAATTAACAAAATGGTGGACCTTTGAAAAAATATTTTTGGAAAATCGTCGATTTTTTACCAAAAACCTAGTTAAAATATAAGGAAGATCTTCACCGATTGGCTTTATCCTAGTTCATACGAGAGCTATACACTCCCAGAGAAACGTTGCAAAATTTGGAACCGATTGCATTATTAGTTTTTGAGTTATCGTGTCCGCCATTCGTTTTGAGAAAAACGCGTTTGAAGTTTGAGAAGCCCTTCAGCCGTCACTTGATGCTGACACAATAAATCGGATATATCTTCAAGAGTTCTTGAGATTTTCACTGGAAATTTTGTAGAGACATCTTTAATCAGTGTAGATTCGAATTATATCAACAAAAATTTTGACCCCGAGAATGGGGGGGAATTGATTTTTTAAATTAATAAATATTCAGTCTTATTCTTAAAAAGATTTTTATAGACCTTAGGAACTTGGATTTATTCAAAATTTTCTTCAAGAAAAACTTATACGATTCTCAAAGTTGATGGAATATAAAGAGATCTGCAAAATTCGTAAGTACCACAAAAAAAAAAACTGGAAAAATTATCGGTCAAACATTTTTCTTCTATAAAACAAATAAATCCTCTATGAAGCTATTAAATCGTTACAACCTATTTTATATGTTTTCTTTTTCGACTTCTCCCATGCATTCACACGCATCTATCCAGAGATAGACAGTTTTGAATTTATGAATTAAATTATGGCATTAAAACATTTTCATTCATTTCGTTTTTTTTTTTTTTTGTAAAAGAATGGACGGACATACATGCTCCATGTAAACGTTTGAGCTATTTTGTGTGCGAAATTAAAAAAAAACAGTCCATGGATGGCTATGGAGGTAGAGGGAGCGAGTGGATTCTTTGTGTTAAATATTGAAGTTGTGAATGTTTAGTTTTAAACACAAGTAGATGAATGAACGAACAAATGAATGAATGCAGAAGCTTTTTACCGGCGTTTTATAGTGGAGTAGTGGAAGATGGAAAATAAAAGGAGCGTCATAAATGTGGGAGCAAAGTGTGAGTACAGGGTGTAATAAAATTCAACAGCTAGTTTTTGGTTTAAGAAAGGGATCTTTAATTTGGAATTGAAAGGCATTAGGGGTAAGCAATATAAAAAATATATTTTCCTGATCAAGAAATATTTATAAGCATTAAAATCTGCATATTATATTCATATTTGCAAACACCAATAGTAGTGGCGCCATAAGAAATTTTAAAAATATACATATTTTGTAAATAAAAAAAATCACACACATTTTGCAGCACCCTGTATTTCAAATTTAAACATTTAAATTTAACATTTTTTTCAATTCCCTTTCCAGATTTTTTCCTCCTCTAGATTTTAGCCAGAATTGTGCATTATTGTTGCTCGGCCAACAGGCATTAAATTAGCGCCAAAATTGGGTGCCTTCGAATGGATACGAATTCAGTGAGTCCATTGCCAGATGCTCCTTTAGCCATGATGGAAAACGAGAAAACACCACCGGGAACACCTTCAGCCATGGATATGCCACCGCCACCAGATGAAAAGTGAGTGTAATTTTACAAAAACAAAAAATTTGGAATAAAATTATTCAAATACACAGAGATTTGTCTATGCTTTAAATTTGCTCTTTGGCTAGTTACCCCATGATGAGCTAACCCAAATTTTGCGATTTTTTGCAAAACCAAAAAGAACAACAACAATAAAATTTTGTAAATTCCTTCCAGCTGTGAGTGAATTTATTAAACACATTCCAGCAATTTACACTTGATGTGTGTGTGTGTAGATTTTGAAAATTGTCAAATATGCTGAGGAACGAATAAAAATGTCAGACTGTGGTTTAGCTTAGGACAGATGTGTGTTTGAGGTGCAGTGGGGCTGGGTAAAACTAATGATGTCTGGTGTCAAATAGATAAGACATTTGATGGATTTATTTTGACTATTCCGATAGGAATTTAAACATTCTCAGTCCCACAACTATTTCTAAAAGTATGTTATATAGAATAAGGAGTCTGCAAAAATGTATATACTTTTATAGAAGTATTCAATAGAAGGCGCGGATTTTTAAAAAATATTTTTTAGTGGATCAAGGGCGTAGATTTTTTACATTATATTGTTTCGGGGACCTCAATAATGGTGAATTTTTAGAGAATATTCCGTCGTGGGCCTATAGCAGAAATGAATATTTTAAAGAATATTTTTTCGGGGACCTCAGTAGGCCTGGATTTGTAAAAAAAATATTTTTTCGGGGACCTCAGTTGTTGAGGATTTTTTAAAGAACATTTTCCCGAAAAATGGGATGGGGGTTTCTAGAATACAAGGCGTGGAGTTTTAAGCAATATTTGTTCAAGTACCTCATAAATAATATTGCATTCTGTCATAGGTATCTATAAAAATTCATCAGCCCCTTCACAGAAAATCCATCAGCCCAAAGAAGAGGTAGGACAAAAAAATACCAAATCAGTCCCCCAAAAAGAGATACCGACAACATTTTCTCTAGAAAATTCTTCAATCACCCAACCCCGCCCCCAAGGGATACTGACAAAATTCTTTCTGGGAAATTATTGAATCCCTCCATAGGGGAACTGAACAAAATTCCATAGAAAATTCCCCAGTCCCCCCAAAGAGGGGGGGGGGGTTTCACAGTCTCGCACAAAAGTGTTCTGAAAAAATTGTCTGTTCCCTACGTAAGGGGTTCTGACAAAATTTTCTATAGAACATTTCTCAGTCTCCTCCAAAAGGGGTACTAAAAAATCCTCAAAATTTTTTATAAAAAATTCCGCAGTTCGCCGAAAGGGGTACTTACAAAAATTTCTGTAGAAAATTAATAAGTCCCACCACCCAAAGGGGTACGGACACAAAATATCTTAGACCTCCACAAAAGGGGTATTGACAAAATTTTCTACAAAAAAATTCTTCAGTCCCCCAACAGTTTCTGACAAAATGTTCTGTAGAAAATTCCTCGTTCCCCCAAAGGGGTACTGACATAATTATACCCTACACACCTATGTTGTCAGGGTATTATAGCTTTGTGCAGCCCCAAGAGTTTGTAACGCCGCGAAATATTGGTCCTAGACCCACTTTTAAGTATACCGATCGTCATATATCGACTAACTGAGTCGATCTAGACATGTGTGTCCGTCCGTCCGTCTGTCCATTATAATTTGTAAACACGATACAGGCCACAGTTATGGACCAATCTTCATGTAGGATGGGTTCTGGCCAATGAAGACCCCTATTGCTTTTGGTAAAGATCGGTTAATATTTAGGGGATGAAATGGACCAAATACTGAATTTTTGTCGGTTTTTGTGGTCGCTTCAGAGGCCGCAATTATGACCCAAACTTTTACGTGTAGAAGGGGATCGGGCCAGAGAATAAACATGCCTGTTTTGATAAAGATCGGTCAATATTTAGCGGGTCAAATGGACCCTTACTTTAGTGTAAAAAATTACAAAATTTGTATTCTATGGCATATATATTTAGTCCTAAAAGACATTGGCCCGAGAGGTTGATATTATATCCAAGAGGAGTGGTTGATATTTAAATTGATACCAATATTATTGTCGTATGTACTCGGAAGTGGGAGATACACTTAAATATTTACAGGTGCTTGGGTATTCAGATATTATTTAGTAACCCATTACCGCACTAGAGGGCGGAAATATAGCGCTGATCGCTTGAAATATTCCATGAGGTTCCAGGTATGGCCAAGGCCTATAATTGCCTATAATTTGCGGTGATGTTCAGATAACAATATTGGGATGAAGTGGACCGAAAACTTAATGTGTTGTGTTTTTTTTTTTTCGAGTCGATCTATAGGCCACAAGTCGAACAACACAAACCACTGTGTATATTTTCCAAGCTCAGAATATAGGACCACAGGAAGTTAGATTTTCGTGGAAGTTGTGTAGGGTATCATATGGTCGGCCCGTCCAACTATACTGCTCCGCTCACTGGTTTTATATAAAAATAGTGAGAAAATTGTTAGGTATTTTCTATAAAAATTTTCCCGACATGCGGTCGGAAATTATATTCAATGGAAAATATCTCATCACCTTAAAAGAGATCTTACAAAATTTTCTTTCATAATTGCCTATACGAAGTCAGGAACATTTTTTTACAAAAAATGTATTAGTACTTCAAAAGGAGACTAGTCGAAAAATATTTCTTTCAGGCTCTTTTTTTGTAAACAAAATTTTAGAATAACGTGTTCCGCAAAGGTGACCTGTTTAATTTATTTAAATCACGTTGAGAAACAAAAATAAAAATTTTCATGAAATTTGAAGTTTAAAAATAATTTTTTGTTTTACGGATGTAGTTTAATCGTTATTACTAAAGCATTAAAATAATCAGTATGAACTAAAAATCAAATAATATGCGCGATTGCACCACATAATCACCAATTTGGAAAAAAAACTAGACATTTCTTCGGTAAAAACAAGTGTAGGTAATGTGGTATACCTTGATTCTGCATGGAAAAAGGCCAGCACTAGACAAAATCTCATTACTATGTGAAATATTTGTACTCTAAGAAACTTGCTTATCAAAAATTAAATATTGTGTGTAGACATTATTATATAATAAAAATTAAAGTTGCTCTTAAAAAAAACAATAAATTATATAAGATATCAATTGGAAGTGAAAATTATACTATACCACATTAACATCATGTGGTATAACATTACCTGCACTTTTTTTAAAATCACTTTTTATGGGATTTCAAATATTTTCTCAAATATCTCTTAAATTGTTAGAATAATATTATTTTCAAATTGATACATGGATGTAGCATGTTAAAAAAATTTAATCGGATAAAAAATAAAAATTTGGCAATCTAAAAACAAATGGGTATACCACATTTGCATCACCTCCTATAAATAAAATGCATTAAATGTATGAAAATTTTATCTATGAAAAAATTCCACAGTTCTCTAAACGGGTCTGATAAATTTGTTCATTGTTTCTATCGAACATTTGTATCAAAATTTCTATGGCTCCCAAAGGGGTTAAAAATAAATGCTTTGTATAGGATCTGATTTTTTTATGACATCAGTACACCAAAGGATGTGAACAAAACATTCCTTTGAGGTTTGAGAGCTAAAAAATTGCCTATAGAAAATTTCTCGGTTCTCAGAAACGGTCTGACTTATTTATTTATTTTTTTTTTTTTTTGAAACACATCATAGTTCTCCAAGGGGTCTGAACAATTTGTCTCCAGTGTGCAAAAAATGTTGTGATAGTTTCAGACCCCGTCCTCAAGGAGTGTGAACTAATTTTTAATAGAATATTCAATAGTCCCCCAAATAAGAGTTTCTTTGCATCATGAAACCTAAAATCCATGTGTCGATATTGCGTGCCGGAAGCTGCACTCCACAAAATGTAACATTCCCCCCAATTTGTAGTGAAGGATGAATACAAAATTTTCTTTATGACAATTTATAATTTAATGATTACACACACAAATACGCACTCACACAACTACATAAGTGAAATGTCTTCACTTATCATTCATTGTCAGCAGCACTTAGCTTAGCAATTTCGCTCGACTAAGTATACCCTTGTGATCTGAGACAACAACAACAAATCAACGCTCTGCAAATTTTCACGAATTGTAGCTGCAAATAATTTAACTGTGATGTTGTGCGAAGTACAGATGTTCCGAGCGAAGCATTCGAAGCAATTTAAAGTAATTTTGGACGGTTAGTTAAGTAAATGATTATTAGGGAACATACTTATTTGCAGATGCGTGTGTGTGTGTGTGTAGCCCAAAGAAAAATAGTTCATACACATGTTGCCATCAAATTATCGCCAAATTAGAAAGGAAATGCCATTTATTTAAGAAATTCTTTTTTGATGAGGATATATGGAGGAAAATAATGTAGCAGGTGAATTATGAAAAAGATAAATGAATGAAAAAAAAATAATTTTAATGTTTATTACAGTGTGGAAAATTTACCAGTACTCCGAATGAGACCTTGAAGTCGGAAAATCCTGATTTGAAAGGATTTCCTATATACAAATTTTATAGAAAATTCCCAGTTCCCCAGAGAAGGGATAATCTATAGAAAATTTCTCAGTCTTACACAAAGCTTTTCGGACAAAATTTTCTACCCCGAAAAGGGCACTGACAAAATTCTGTATAGAAAAATCATCAGTCCTTCAAAAGTATCCGACAATTTTCTATAAAAAAAATCATCAGTTCTCCAGTTGTCAAAAAAATTTATAGAAAAAGTATCAGTACTTTAAAGATCCTGAAAAACTTGTCAGATTTTTTTTCTAGACAATCCATTAGTTAGCCCATTGGATCTGAAAAAAATCAATGTAAATTTCGTGAAATCGGAAAACTACTGAATTCTCCAAATAGTTTTAAAAGATTTTTTTTCCATAAAAAATCATCAGTCCTGCAATTAAACGGAAAATAAATTTCTATAGAAAATTCTTCAAATTTCCCAAATTCACTTCCGAATATTTTTATTATTCTATGGGGCTTCAAAAATTGGTAGACAAACCTAAGGTGTTTATAATATATTTTTCTACAAAAACCGA